TTGTTGCTGCTGCTGCTGCCACCCCTCTGCAACCCCTGTAGAGCCCAACGAGCAGCAGCAGCTGAAGCAACAGCAAACACTGCAGCGCCTATGTCGAATGTCAAGCAGAAGCGGCAGAATCGGCAGCAACGGAAACAGCAGCTGCAGCACTAGCGGTAAAAGAAGCAGCAGCAGCAGCAGAAGCTGGAGCAGCAGCAGCAAGCTGCTGCTGTCAGCGGCCTAACACTGAGCCTGCTTCGAGAGTGTGCATTGTGTTCCATGCAATTCATCTTCAAATAAAAAACAGATTTGTCTAGAGTTTTGCTGCAGCAGCAGCAGCTGCTGCCGCTGCAGCTGCTGCTGCTGCTGCTGAAGCCGGTTAGCTGAGAGCAACAACACGGCCTTTGGGCATCTGCAGCAGCTGCAGCGCCTGCCGCAGCGGCATTAGCTGCTCAAGTCCCTGCAGCTGAAAAGCTGTGAAGTAACACAAGACGGAGCCCTGGACCCTGCCGGTTGCTGCTGCTGCTGCGCCCGTCGCTGCTGCTGCTGCTGCTGCTGCAGCGCCGTCCGCCGCAGCCGGCAGCGACTCCGTCACCAGGTGTACGTACACCTCAGCGCTGCACGGAGGGCCCAACATGATAATTCTTTTGGCCCCACAAAGGCGGTAGCGGCGGTAGAAGCAAAAGCGGCTTGTTGTTATTAGCACTGGCACATCCCCTGCAGCAGCAGCAGCAGCAGCAGCAGCAGCAGCGTTGGGGGCGCAGGAAGGCACGCAGCAGCGCCTGCCTGCGGCTGCTTCTAGAGAGCGCAACCGCAGGAGCAGCATCGGCAGCAGCAACAAGAGCAACAGCCACACTAACAACAGCAGCAGCAGCAGCTGCAGCAACAAAACCAGCAACAGCAACCAAACCAGCAGCAGCAGCAGCAGCAGCACCTTTGAGAAACGACTGCCTTGCCCTTGAGAGCTTAGCATTTGAGGTGTACTCGTGACAGGTCGTGTAGCTGATGCAGTGCTCCTTCAGAGCCACTCGCAGTCTGCAGCAAAGCAGCAGCAACAGCAGCAGCAACAGCAGCAGCAGCAGCTGAGGAGTTTACAGCGCCTACAGCGGCGAGACAGGAAAGAGCTTTTCGCAGGCAGAAAGACGACAGCAGCAGCAATTCTAAAACAGCAAAAGCAACACGAACTGTAGAAAATGCGGCAGCAAATGCTACAGCAGCAAGTGCTACAGCAGCAAGTGCTGCAGCAGCAAGTGCTGCAGCAGCAAGCTGCACGCTGCCTGCTGCCGCACCTGCAGATCTCCAAGTAGGAATTGACCAGCAGCAAAACGCGAGAAGCAGCACCGCCCAAAGTTGGCAGCACATTAGAGCAGAAGTAGTTTATTAGGTCCTGAGACACACACAGCAGGCCCTGCTGCTGCTGCTGCTGCTGCTGCTGCTGCTGGATAGTTTGTGTCGCTGACATGGCGCGAGGAAATTGACATAGATAGAAAAAGTAAAATAAACAAAAAACATAAAAAGACAAAAAATTGAAAAAACGAAATTTTAAAACTAAGAGAGAGAAAAGGAAAGAGAAGCAGCAGGAAGAGGCGCCGCGCAGCAGCAGCAGCAGCGGCAGGCTACAGCAGCAAGAAGCTGAAGAACGGTAAAGAGACACGCAGGACAGCAGCAACCAAAAAGGCAGCAGCTAAAGGCAGCAGGAACAGGAAGCTGCAGCAAACAACTGCGGAAACAACCAGAAGCAGCAGCTAAAAGCAGCAGCAGCAGCAACGAAAAAGCAGCAACAAGAACCAGCAGCAATACGGAGCAGCAGCAACTCGAAATTGCAGAAGCAGCAGCTGCAGTAGCAACTGGTCGCAGCACCAACAAAGTGCAGCAGCGACTTGCAGCAGCAGCAAAAATGCAGCAGCAACTAGAAGCAGCAGCAGCAGCAGCAGCAGCAGCAGCAGCAGCAGCAGCAACCTACTCTCTGAGTATGCTTGAAGGCTTTGCAGCTGACTAAACAGAAAAGCTGCTGGGCGCCGGCGCGGCTGCAGCGGAGAGTAGCAGGAACAAAGCCTCGTGGCTGTCCTGCTGCTGCTGCTGCTTCTGCTGCCTCCAAGATGGCAGCGTCTGCTGCAGCAGCCGCTGCAGCAACTTCAGCAGCAGCAGCATCTGCTGCCGCGACTGCCTTTGCCGCCTCGCTCCTTTCACCTGCTTCGCCCGCCTGCTCCCCGGCACTTGCTGCTGCTGCGGCTGCTGCTGCAGCGGCAGCAGCAGCAGCAAGGTCGCGCGAGGGAATGTCCAAAGGCATGCAAACTGCAGCAAGACGAGGCTCAAACAGCTGCAGACAGCCCCTTCTGTTTGCTGAAAAGCTCTGCAGCAAAGCTCCAAATCTGCTGCTTCTCCCGCTGCAGCAAACCACTAGCTGCCGATCTGTTTGCCCCACAGCAGCAGCCATGGAGGGCCGCAGCCGCCGAATATCGAAAGACGTGTAGCGCTGCGGTGGCAGGTTGCACACCTACAGCAGCAGCAGCAGCAGCAGCAGCAGCAGCAGCAGCAGCACACTGAAAACGGCGCCTCCACGAGTGAGGCGCAAACCACTGACACTGCAGCAGCAGCAGTGCCAAAAAGCAGCAGCAGGAGCAGCTGCAGAAGCAGCTGCAGCAGCGGTCTCAGCAGTGCTCAGCAGCAGCAGAAGCAGAAACACCAGCAGCAGCAGCAGCAGACCTCCAAGACCTCCTTGAGGAGCTGCCAGTTCTGCAGCGCGATGATATCTGCCCTGTCAATTATAATGATTTCCAAAGAAGACAAAAAGTCAAATTCCCTTTTTGCTTCGCCCTGCAAGCAGCAGCAGCAGCAGCAGCACCAGCAGCGGGGACCAGAGATGCAGCGCCAGCAGCAGTCCCAGAAGAGCAGCAGCAGCACTAAATCAGAAGCAGCAGCAGCAAAACATCAGTAGCAGCAAACCAGCAGCAGCAAAACAGCCGCAACTGCGGCACGTCAGCCGCAACAGCAACAGAATAGCCGCAGCAGCAGCAAAATAGCCACAGCAGCAAATCCGCTGCGGCAGCAGCAAAAGAACAGCAGCACAGGTGGAGCAGCAAAACCACCGCAGCAGCAGCAAACCAGCCACCTCAGCAGCAAACCAGCCATCTCAGCAGCAAACCAGCCAGAGCCGCAGCAAACCAGCCACCGCCGCAGCAAACCAACAGCAGCAGCAGCAGCAGCAGCACCTTTGCGCCAGTGAGGATGCGGAGGGCGAGGGGAGAAGCAACAAGAATGTCGCTGCCCTGCAGCGAGCAGCAAAGAGAAATGGATTTGCTGCTGAGGCGAATGCCCAGGCTGAAGTTGTCGCTGCTGCTGCCGCCAAAAGTGGCCCTGAAGTCCCGGGGCCGCCGCGCCTTCAGGAAGCTTTGCTGCTGCTCTGCTGCTGCAGCAGCAGCAGCAGCAGCAGCGCCACCCTCTTCAGACGGCCCAAAAGACGCCCGGTACCTCTTCTCGTTCAGAACCTGCAACAGCAGCAGCAGAAGCAGCAGCAGCAGCATGAACAGCTACGAAATGCTGCATCACACGCGGGAAACGCTGCAGCAGGAAGTGCCAAGCAATGGACCAGCAGCCACTGCTGCTGCCGCTGCTGCTGCTGCTGCTGCTACTTGCCTGGAAGCCCGGCGGCAGCATCTGCAGCATGGCGTCCACCACTTCTTTTGCTGCCGAACGGAAAGGCAGCAGCAGCAGCACGCGAGGCCTCGTGTAGCTGCTGTCTTGAAGCAGCGAGCGCAGCCACTCCTCGCATGCAGCAGCACTAAGTTGCTGCTGCCCTGCTGCTGCTGCTGCTGCTGCTGCTGCTGGTTCCGCCGCACAGGGTGCCTCTCTTTCTTGCTCTGCAGCTGCAGCTGCAGCGCCCTCTGCTGCAGCCGGTTCTTTTTCTTGCTGCTGCCGCTGCTTTTGCTGCTGCTGCTGCTTCTGCTGCTGCTGCTGCTTTTGCTGCTCCTGCTGCTGCTGCTGGA